GCCACTTACAGCTAAGGGAGGCAACCCACTATTGTTCTCGCCTAAAGAATTAAATGATGGCTAAATTTGTTTTCTCTCCCTATCTAGAAGCCTTTGAGAGGTAACTGACACTGATTCTAGCCACTCCAACACCTATCAAAATACCTGAAAGCAAATTCTGAATCCATCACTCTAGAGTCCAGCCTTGGAAGACAAAAGAAAAAAGAAAAATGAGCTATTACCTTGGTGCTAACCATTGCCCCTTACCTCTTCAGATATTTTCAGGACCAAAATCCAAAAACTAACTCTTACTAATTTTGATCAGTTGTTACTTTCCTTCCCTCCACATGTATAAACGCCTGTCAACCATCAAGGACCCTGTTGAGATGTATGAAGAGGGAACCCCTGCTGTCTGATAGACCCCTAATCCAGCCTCTCCCACGTTGACCCTGTCTATCAGGAAGTAGTAAGATGACAACGGCACCCCCTGTCCTATAACACAAAGTGCTGGAATGTTAGGGTTCAGATAGCCCTGCCCCCTCACCAACAGGGCCTCACAAGCCCCTGAGATAAGGGAACTGAGTTGATAAGCACTCTGGTCTTTGAAGTCAAGAGAAGCAGACTTTTCTCCACTGTTTGGCCAACACAGCAGGATTCCCCTTTGATCTCTAAAGGGGGCAGGTTTTAACAGTCTCTCTCTCCCACTTCCCCCGCCCAACTTTAAAAAAAATATATCTTCCTGCCTTCTGCATCCTTCCAGAAGCCTCCCCCTTAAAAAGACCCCAGCTCATGACCCGGGCAGACATTTTCCCTGCCTGGAAGGGAATCTGTCCCATGTGTTCCTTTGCTAATAAACTCTATTCCAGTGGAGTTTAAAAAAAAAATTTTTTTTTTTGGTCCTTTTGAGACAGGGTCTCTCTGTAGCCCTAGCTGTCCTGGAGTCACTATGTAGACCAGACTGGCCTTGAACTCACAGAGATCTGCCTGCCTCTGCCTCCCGAGTGCTAGGATTAAAGGTGTGTGCCACCATGCCCGGCTTCCAATGGAGTTTTGTCCTGGTGCTTTCTCCAGATCAACCGAATTCATCCATGGCTTACTTTATCTATCACTATGTAGTATTGATTTGAGGATAATGAGAAGAAAAAGTCTGTATTGCTCAGTACACATGTAGGATTAGTTGAATCCCTGGATATGGAAACTTAGGATTCAGTAGGCTGACTGTAGCACCTGCATTCCCAATTCTTCCATGTTTGTATCTCTATATAGATTCTCCTTTAAATGCCAAATTAATAAATCCAAGAGGAGTCATTGTACAGAGGGTCAGGAATGAGATGGGAAGGCTTAGACAGAGTCAGGGACAGGAAGGGGAAGTACAGGCAGAAGATCAGGAATGGGATGGAAGATACAAGAAGAGCGGTCAGAGGAAGCTGCTGACCTGACCTAGGAGACCCTGGCTGGTTTCCAGGAGGCAGTGAGACCTGAGGAAGGGTTAGGTTTGGCTCCACTTGCAAACAGCACAAGCTAGCACCATTGGCTGATGAGTAGCCTTGGGAAGGCTTCCCTTTGCACGGTTTCATTATTTGTAAACCATCTCCTTGGATTGTTGTGATTATAAAGTAAATCAACATTTGTAACACACAGAAAGAGCTTTCAAAGAGCATTAACAAGAATAAATTAACAACCAAATCCCAATTTCATTATTGAAAGATTGTTAGCTGGGCCACCCACTAAACAATTGGCAATTGCTACTCTTTTTGCTGAATGGGATGAAATAGGGGGTAATGCCTGTTAAGGTTCAGATAGCCCTGTCCCCTCACCAACAGGGCCTCATGGACCTCACAAGCCCCTGAGAAAAGGGAACCGAGTTAATAAGCACCCTGGTCTTTGAGGTCAAGAGAGGTAGACTTTTCTCCACTATTTGGCTAACACAGCAGGCTTCCCCTTTGATCTCTAAAGGGGGCAGATTTTAACAGTTTCCCCCCACCCCACCTAACTTAAAAAAAATCTTCTCACCTTCTGCACCCCCAGAAGCCTCCCTCTATAAAAGACCCCAGATCAACAGACAAACCCCAGGCAGACATTTTCCCTACCCAGAAGGGAATCTGTTCCAGGTGTTCCTTTGCTAATAAACTCTATTCTGCTAGAGTTTTAGCGTTTTATCTGTGCCTGGTGCTTTCTCCCAATAAACCAGATTCATCCATTGCCTACTTTACCTATCAATGCCTAGTGCTGAGCCTTAGATGTCTATGGTGTCAGGATGATGATTCAGTCATTCTATAGGTGAAGAAGTGAAGTTCAAGGAGAGATGGGTAGAAGGCTCATAATTCCCCAACTCTTAAATGGAAGAAAGGGTGTTTGCAGATGTGGCTAAAGCTCTTTAGATGGAGAATTTGTTCCGGGTTATTTAGGTAGGCAATCACATGTATCCTCACAAGAGAGAGACACAGGGAGATTTTATGTCACACACAAGTGGCGGCAGAGATTGGAGTGGTGTGGTCAAGGCAAGGAGTGACTGAGCATTCAAGGTGGGGGAGGCAAGGGACAGATTCTCCTCTGGAACCTCTGGAGACAGTGCCACCCTTCCATCACCCTGACTGTAGCCCAGTGACCCTCGGCCTCCAGAACTGTGGGAGATTTAAGGTCTCTTGTTTTAACATACAAAGCCTGGGGTGACTGGACACAGGAGCCACAGGACACCAGTACAGGGAGGTGACTCACATCAAGTCCCACAGCTGGGAACTGCTGGGGCTCCTCTGTCCCAATCCTTGAACAGAAACTCAGAGCACAGCAGTGCTGAGTCTCTCTCAGTCTCCTCCACCCACCCTGCCTACCTCGAGTCCCTGCTCACCGGCAAGTATCGGCCATTGTGGGTGCAGCCGCAGTTTTGGGCAGGGATACACACACCCTCTGAGAGCAGGTAGTGGTCATCACACTCACATCCTTCAAAGCATTGGTTGGTGCAGCCAGTGAGGCCAGAGAGTGCTGCACAGGAAAGTTGGCAGGAGTACGTGCAGAGAGAGTAGTGGCTGTGGGCAGGGCACTGAAGAGCTGCAGAGAGAGGAGGCAGGATGGGTCGCACCTACCATGGGATACTAACTGAATCTGCTGTACTCTTAGCCCTGGGTTGGATGGTACTGAGGACCTTCAAGTGCTGAAGGTAGCCTTAAACTCTGTCCTACAAAGCTCACATCCAATGGCACAGAAAGCCACAGACCAGAATGTCCATGCTGCATTGGAGAAACCAGACAGGTATGAAATCTGAGACAGAGCATCAGGTCTGGAAAAATGAGGCGCCAGGTCAGTCTGGAAAAGTGATGCGCAAGGTCGGATGGGAAAGCCTGGGAGGAAGGGTGGCGCAGGGAAGTGCAGGAAGAGGGCGAGGATAGGATAGGGTGGTATGGGAAGAAGGCTGGGATGGGATGGGAAGTCGAAGATGGGGGGAATGGAGAGGTGGGGTTGGGGATTGGATGGATGGATGGGGAGGTGTAGGCAGAGGGATGGGATAAGGAGGCTCTGGCAGCGTGTCAAGGCAGAGTATCCACAAGGAGTGGGCAGTGCAGGGCTCAGAAGGCACAAGAATGGGCTTGACGCTGGGACAAGAGAAAAACAAGGATATGTGAAAGACTCATAAAAATCAAGGAATAAAGCTCTGGGCTCAGGCTAACTATTACAGGCCAGTGGGCTGTCATCAGGTAGGCATTGGGGCAGGGAAAAAGAATGAAAAATCAGGTTTGGGGTGAAAATCTGGTTTCAGTTGTAGACATAGGTATAGGAACTCCAAGGACCACTAAGGGAAAGTATCCAGAAGACATGGGATACATGGGCTTAACATTCAGGAAAGTTCAAGATGGAGACCCTGTCCATAGTGAGTACTGTGACAGTACATAGGGTGGGTGATGGCCCAGAGTCTTGGTTCCTGTCCTCAGGAGACGAGGAGAAATGGCTCTGCTCCAGAACACCAGGGGACTATTGTCATGGAGAGTCTAAGGAGACCCGTTCCTGCCCTGTGGATTTGAAGGAGGAATACTGGGCTGGATTTGGGAGTCAATTTGTCCTTGCCCTGGGGCTGTGAGTCCTGTGGGGGGGGGTCAGTGAACAACAGACACAGACCTTTTGTGGGCTCCCAATCTACCTAATACCCTTCCAGGTCCCCAGAGAAAGAGCTGGGGATAGCCCTGAAGAGATGTGGACATGGGTGGAGGGCTACTGACTGGAGTCTGAGACCTCAGAGCCATAAGAAAATGAGGGAAGTGACAGAGGATGCTGTGGCAGGGCAGGAGGAAGCCCTGTCACAGACAGGGACTTCTGAGCAGCAGACAGGGGAGGGGCCAGGAGTCCCACAACGGGCCCACAGACACTCACGGCAGAAGCTGTCTGTCCTCCAGGGCTTCATGGTTGCGCCAGCTGCCTGACAGTCCGCAGTGTAGGCTGCTAGGGCGTTGCAGAGGTAGGTTTTGTCGCCCTTATGAGTACACATGTTCTTCACACATTGGCGGAAGTATTCCGAGGGACTCCAAACCCTGTGGCAGAATGCGAAGGGACCTTCGGGGTCCTGCAACTTGCCACAGAATTCTTCTGTCTCATATGCTTCTGCCTCCTCTTCTAAGCACACAGGGCAGCCTTGGGGCCCACAGCCCTCAGTGCATCCCTCAGTGGAGCCGGGAGCTCTCCAAGCAGTTACAAAGCTGTCCACATTGGGGGCCTCTGCACCACTGGGCAGCATCAAGTCGTCACTCCAGTTGCCGTTGAAGTTCCCACAGAGGCCACAGAGACGTCCACGGAAGGTACTAGGGATGGACAGGAGGACATGGGCCTTGCCGTCATAGAGAAGCTTCAGCCCCTGGATCGACCGCACAATTACATTTTGGCCTTCAGCGCTCATGTGCACTTGGTCTACAGCCACAGGCAAGGTCACAGCTTCACCATCTACGGTTACCTGGGTGGAAGGGTCAGTTAGGATGGGGTGGGATCATGATTCCTCAATTTAACACAGGCCCTCATAGCTCCTGCATGGGGCTTTGTGTATCTCAGAGCCTCATAGCAGAGCTAAGTCCCTTTTAGATGGAGTGAGGCCATGTTAAACTCTCAGAGTGGGGCCATGTCTTCAGCAGACTCCAGGATGGCGCCTTTCCCCACAAATTCAGAACCACCAGGGTAGGGCTGTGGTGCTCCCAGGACTCTCAAGTTGGCCAGCAAGCCCCTTGCAGGCTACAGAGTGAGGTCTGGGTGGGGCTGTGTCCTCACCAGAACTCTGGGCAGGGGAATGTCCACTCACCTTTTGCCCTTGAGACAGAACCACAATCTGGTCAGCCACAGCTACCACCACTCTTTGAAGATCTCCATTGAAGTTCTTTTCAAGCACAATGGAAAGCAACTCTTCTTTAGATTCTGGGTGACAGACTTGGGCCAAGACATAGTAGCAGGAGCCATGCATTTGATAGGCCAGTCCATCAGGGCTGACATAATAGTCGCCCTCAATGATCAACATCATTCCATTGCTCTGGGGATGACAGCCACGGATGCCATCTTTTACCTGGCACTCCTCATAGGGCCCACAGGCCTCTCTCTTGCAGCTGACCTGGCCACCTGGGCTGCACTTACAGAACTGCTCACACTCAGGGCCTGGGTAGAAGGTGGCACCCAGCAGGTAGTAACGTCCATCATGGAGGCAGCCACACTGGCCCACAGGCACACAGGTGTCACCGCTGAGCACAAACCCAGAATCACAGACACAGCCCTCACGACAGGTGGTTTCACAGCCCTCGGGGGCTGAGAGGCTCGGGCAGCTCACGGGGCAGGAGTCACCACAGAGCTGGTAGTGGCTGTTGGCAGGGCACTGGAAGGCTGTGAGGACAGGACAGAGGAGAGTCAGATAGGGGCAATGGTGGAATCTGGCCTCAGGTGAGACAGCCTGCCTGGGGCAACCTGAACAGCTATAGGAATTGACCTAGAATATCTGACAGGGCAACCCACTGTGGGATCTCAGAACTGAGGGGCACAGCCAGGTCTCCCTGAGCAGGGTGTGCTATACGTCCAAAGACCAAGTGACTGGTTGGTGGATCTGACTATGTGTATCTGAGCAGAATGGATTAGAACCAACTATGCACTGAGGAGGTGGCCTTGACCCAGGAGATCTGCCTGAGGAGATGCTCCATACTCAATCTATGTGGATCTTCCCGGGGCAGGTCCTGACCAGTGTGCGGCAGGCAGTGTAGAGTCTACCCAGGGCTCTGAGGCCACTTCTGTGTGGCTAGCTGTATTATTCCAGTGTGGGAATCGGCCCAGGGCCTTCTGACCAGGTGAAACTTACAAGGCCTCTGTGATATGTGATATGACTGTGTCTGGCTCATGTCCCAGTCAATAGGATATCTGAGCACTGAGTCTCCCAGAGTGGTCTGCACACAACGATTCTGACTGCGGGTGTCTAACTGGGTCCCTCCCCAGGCCTATAGGACTCATGTTTTTCAGTGTATAAGTGCCAAAGTGTGTCTCTGACAGGAGATACCTGCTGGGGGTGAGGGGTGAAGGAGGGTGGACTTCGAGCTCCATGGAGGCAGGAAGCCCTTGGAAGGGGTGGGGGAGACCCCGTCTACGTGGAGACTGTGTGGGTCAGTACTCACGACAGAAGTCCGGCTTCCTCCATTCTCCAAGCTGGGCTCCAGCGGCCTGGCAAGCTGCCACGTAGGTGGCCACTGCAGGACAGAGTCCTCCTGGATGGCCCTGAACTTGGCAGGCATCCAACAAGCAATCCTCGAAGTACTGCTCAGGTGGTATGAGGCTGTGGCAGGCTGCCAGTGGGCCGTCTGGGGCCGAGATTATCCCGCAGGCATCAGGACCACGGAAGGGTTCCTGTTGCTCTGGAGTACAGGGTTTTGGGCAAGGCCCGGGCACACACTCATCACAGCCTGGGGCACCTCCCACCTGCCAGCCCTCAGGTTTCCCTTCCACTGCTGTCAGGTCATCACTGGGATTTTTGTTGTAGTTCCCACACAGGCCACAAAGGGTGCCCGCGTAGGCTGCAGGCACACGCAGGCGCAGGAAGCTGACCCCATCAAATGCCAGGGAGACTCCAGAGGCAGTGGTGATCACTATATCTGAGCCACTTATGTAAGCCTGCAGTCGGGAGTCCAGCTCGAAGGGCAGAGCAACGAACTCTCCGTTCACCTGGTGTGGGGAGAGGGGCGGGCAGTGAGTGGTGATACAGTTCAAATCCTGTCTGCTACGCAGAGGCTCTGGGACCCAAAGTAGGCTGCCACCCGTTATGTAATAGCAAAGAGATGCAGTGTCGTTGGCTCTTTTCTGTTCATGTTCTGTTTAACAAACAAAAGAAAACCAGAGCCTGGAGAGATGACTGAGTAGTTAAGAGCATTCTTCCAGAGTCTTCTTCCAGAGGACCCGAGTTCAAGTCCCAGCACCCTCATCAGGTGGCTCCAGCTGCCCAGAACCTCTGCTCTAGAAGATCTGATGCCTCTGGCCTCTGCGGGCAGCAGCACACACGTGCACACTCCCACATGCACAGACCCATGCACATAATTGAAAACAACAACAAGGGCATGATTATTGTAGCCTAGGCCTGCCTGGAACTGTCTGCAATCCTCCTGCCTCAGCCTCCCAGTGCTGAGGTTACAGGAGTGAGCCTGTCCACTAGAGAATAGCCCATCCCTCATCCTTTCCTGCACATCTGAGGACAGCATGGGCTTTTGTGTGGCTCACAACCCACTCACCTGTAACTGTCGGGGCCAGTGGGCACTGAGGGTCAGACTGAGGCCGTAGATATACAGAGTGACACTATGGGTGTAGCTGACCGCCTGGCTGCCCCTGTGTTCATTTGCCACAGTGACATTGAAGTATTCGGTGCCCATGGGTTGTGCCTCGCAGGGTGCACTTAGCAGGTACTCGCAGGTGCCTTGGAAATCAAATTGGTGCCCATCTAGGGTGAAATATTGGGGATCACCCCAGGCTTGGCATTCAGCTGTGCTGGTGGGTTGGCAGCCAAGCTGGCCAGAGGGCAACAAGCCACACTGCTGACCCAGCAGGCAGCTGGTAGACTGGTAGACCAGGGAACCACCCTCAGGTTCACAGTGGCACAGCTGAGAGCAGGTGGCATCGCTCCAAAACTCACTGCCCAGCTCGTGGTAGGTGCCGTTGGCCCAGCAGCCACAACCGCCGTCCAGGGGAACGCACTCCTTGCCACTCAACACGAAGCCCTGGTCACACTGGCAGCCCTCGACGCAGGGTCCCTCACAAGCATCTGGGGTTGTCCGGAGTGCAGGAGATGGGCAGGTAGCTGGGCAGGGTGGACCACAGAGCTCATAGTGGCTGTTGACAGGGCAGGGGATCTCTGTGGGCAGATGAAGGAAAGGAAGGAGAGAAATCTTGTTGGTGTGTCCACTGGGGTCAGGATGGGAGGAGACACAGAGAGAGGTGGGGCAGGGAGGCTGAGAGATCCAATGACACAGAGACAGAGATGCCAATGGAGCCAAAGGAGAGACAGAACATGCGAGAAGAGATCCTGAGCCAGACAGCCAGACACAGCCAGACACCCCCAGACACAGCCAGACACAGCCTGGAACAGAGACCGGGAGAGCCCAGCAGGAAGACCCCAAGGTGGGGAGTGATCCAGCCCCGCCCAGCAGAGTCAAGGTCAGACCCCCGGCCCTTGCCCTGCTCTCCACCACTCACCACAGCCGGCCTGCGTCCTCCAGTCCTTGATGGTGATGCCAGCAGCCTGGCAGGCAGCAGCATAGGCAGCCAGGACCTCACAGAGTATGTCTTTTAGGCCGTTCTCCTGGCAGAGGTCCAGCACACAACTTTTGAAGAAGTTTTTCGGAGCCACATAGTTATGGCAGCTGGTGAAGGGGCCCTCTATGCCAGGTATCAGAGGTCCACAGAAGCCAGGTCCCTCAAACTCCTCCAGGTGATCTTCAGGGCATGTTGGGCAGGACCCCTGACATTCATCCCAGCAAATGGGGTCCCACTCTGGAACCCGCCAGCTGCCACCCCAGGTGGACATTGAGGGAGCCATTGTGCCGTTAGGGAAGAGTTGATCATTGTTGGGGTTTTTGTCCATGTTCCCACAGAGCCCGCACACCACGCTATGGTAGCTACTTGTCAACGTAACCTGTACCAGTGAATTCCAGTCATAGGTGACCTGCAGCCTGAAGTCAGTCACCAGCACAGCCTTTGAGAGTGCATTAATCACTGAAATCCGCCCACCAGCCAAGGACACAGGCAAGGTTGTCAGCACTCCGTTCACCTGGGGAGGGAGGGAGGCCAACAGGGGTCATGGGAGCTGCAGATGCCCTCATTCCTTTCTCCTTCCTGCCAAGGCCTTCCTCCTGACTGGCTGACATTATAGTCTACTAATCTAAGCTTTAGGGGACAAGCACTCACATCTGATTTTTTTTCCTAGGTCTCTTGCTTGATCTAGATCTCCCCCCATTCTTCCTTGAGATCCTAATATGGCCCTCAGGGAACCATCCTGCTGATCATACCAAGACATTGCCATTCTTTTTCTTGTGGAAGGAGATGGTGGTGTTGTGGGTAGTCACAGTGACCCTCTTCACATAGGACACAGTAGGGTTGCCCCGGTTCTCATGCTTGGTGATGATGGTGAAGGGAGTCAGGCCCTCAGTGCTAAACCCAGGGCACTCAGTTCCTGCCAGAAGATAGCTGCAGGTGCCATGAAAGTTCAGGCTTGAGCCATCAAAGGTGTAGTAGTGAGGGCCACTCCACGTCCAGCATTTGGCAATATAGTTGGGCATGCACACACCCTGGCCACCTTTCTCTGTGCATTTCTCCTGTGGCCGGCAGGTAATGCCTTGGCATGGGTCTGTGGAAACAGGAGACAAGACTTTGAAGGGCTGTCTACCACAAGCATGGCTGTTCCCAGCATCTGCCCAAGTCTGATAATGGTTCTGAGTGAGACCTGATCCCCATGTTCTAACACTATAGGCCCTGGGTTTGCTATGAAAAAACCAGACCTGGATTGTGTCTGTAATCCGGGTATAAATGTCCTCACATTTGAGACTCAGTCCTGGTGGGTTAGTGCTGTCAACATTCGGACTGCAAGGTTCCTTTCTCTGAGTCCTAGGCCTATAGCTTGCTATCTAATTCTGGGGTCCTAACATTCAAGATCCTGGTTCCAGAATTCCCTTAGTTGCCATTTCAGCCCCATTGACCCAGGTTGAGACCTGCTTTCCACAGTCTCTGGGTCTGAGATGTAGGTAGGGGGCCTTTAGGCCTGAGACCTCACTCAGCCCCTTTTTCCCTATGTTTGAGATCCTGGCATCCTTTTCTCATGCCCAAGACCACAGTTCTGGAACTTCCTGAGGAGACTTCAGTGTCAAGGACCCCAACATTTCACACCTTCACCCTGAGTCCCCAGTCCTAGGCTGGGCTGAGGATCCTCCAGTGCTGGGCTCCATTCCTGGGTGGTATTGTGCACAGCCTTAGGAGTCTCATTTCTGCGGCTAATCTTGGAGAGCTTCTTGTCTAAGACTCCATGTTTGCATCACTGTATCTGTGAGTTCAGTTTTGGAACCCCCTTGTCTAGGAAGCCAGCCTTCAAACATACTTCTCTATCTACTGTGCCAGTTATTAATAAATAATAAAGATGGCCTCCTGCCTGAACTGTGCCCTCAGAATTAAGCTTTGTTTGTAAGGGGTACTGGGGAGTATCTGCAGGAGGGAGTGGCCCCTTCCTGTCATTTTTGCAACCTCTTCTAGATGCTACTGGTGTGTGGACACTATAACATTTGCGACATCTGCATCGTGAGTTCTACTGGCCTCTGTTGGCTTCCCAACCAGTCACCTGGTGCCTCAGGTGGCTGTTTCCAATTGAGCTTTTGCCATAACTCCACTGGGGGTTTCATTCTTGTAGCTCTAGACTGCAGGATCCTCTGTCACCCAGTGGGTGCAGCAGTGTCCTCTCCTGTGAGGGTGAGGCACCTTGGTACGCAGTACTTCCTTCTTTGTGATCGGTGTTAGCCTTTGGAGGGGTTACTCACTGTATCTCCTGCGCTTGTGTATTTCTTATCGTTCTCTTTACCTTCTAGGAAATCAGTGCCATTAGTATCCCCCTCCCCTGTGCTAGGGATGCACCCTAAGGCTTTGCACATGCTAGGCAAGGACTGAGCCACATCCTGAAACATGTGAATCATTACCTATTATATTGTTTTCCTCATGCAAATGACAGTATGATACCTTTCTTTGATGGGACCCTGACCTATGTGGCCCACCCCTCAGCATCTCTGAAATCCTCTTCACCTCTGTACATCTCAGCCCTACCTCACAGTTCTGGAACCTTATTCTTTACTCACTTGGGGAGAGGGTTGCCTTCCAGAGAAGGCAGTGCAAGGTTAGAATTGTGTCCCAGGTTAGGAATATGAGCGGGGTTCTCTGAGACTTGAATCCCTAGCAATCATGATCCTTTGCCTTAAGCGGGGGCCACAGTCAAGGTCCTCCCTCTGTCTTGTTGCTGTCTTTGCCTCTGCCCTGGGAGCACTGCCTGAGAACTCAGAGATCTGGGTTCCCACTGATCCCTGCCCCTTGATGCTGGTGTCTGAAGCCCTAAGCCTAATTCTACTCACCAGTGAGAGCACTTAGTGCTTGGTTTCATAAATAAAGTTGTGTCACAGTTCTGTCCCTTCATCTGCAAAGTCAAGAGCTCATAGGGGTAGATGGGAAAAGTTGTGCCCAAGACCATGCAGCTTGTAAGCTCAAATATTTACCATTAGGACTCTGAGAGAAAAGGATTGCCCAATCCTGCTGAGCACCCCAAGGACCTTTTACATCTATCCTGGGGAGGCTTGCCCTGAGGTTTCCACAGCCTGGAATTCCCATAAGGGTTCTTAGCACCCAGACTGGATGGTCTCTGCTCTTGGCTCCTGGAAACCCGACCCCAGGTCTGACATCTCAACCCATAGGCCTTTGCACCTCCCACCAGGAAGTTATGCCACCCTCTGCTCCCAGGCTCTGCCCTGTGTCCCCAGCCACGCCAGCCCAGCCCCACTGCTCAGCACCTTTGGTGATGCAGGTCAGGATGCCTCCTGAGGGCAGGCACACCTGCCCAGGGTTACAGCTGTGTTCCTTACACACCATGCCTGTGCCTGCGTGGCACACACACTGCTGTTGACAGTTTTCAATGAGAACTGTTTGTCCTGGCTATGGAGACAGAGAACATGGTATCAATACCCAGGGGTGGGAGCAGACTCTGGCATGCCCAGTGTTCCAGACTCAGAGAGGGTCAAGGTGTTTGAAGTGGCAACTCTCAGCAGGGTAGCTCACTGTCAGTGAAACTGAGGTACAGCATGCTTTGAGGCTCAACCCATTCATTTATTCATTCACCTTCATTCATTCATTCCAAAATACCCACTAAATATTGCATAGAAAAAACAGAAGTAAATAACCAATAAAAAAGGAAGTTAGGCACAATGTGGTACATGCCTATTACCTTGTCACTTGGGAGGCCAAAGCAGGAGGATTGCTGCTAATTTGAGGGCAGCCTGGGCTACACAGTGAGTACTGAGCCATCTAGGGCTACCCACTAAGACTCTACCTAAAAAATAGAAAAAAAAGCCCAAACAAACAAAAAAAACCCAAACCAAAACAACAACCCACTAACAACCAAGCCCAAACCCAAACCCAAACCCGATCAGAAGTTCTGGTACAGCTTGCCTAACCTGATTTTGCTATTTCCAAACTCTGGACAACATGACTTAACCTCTTTATGTCTCAGTTTCCTCATTTGTAGATTGTAGATATTTAATAATAGGAGTGTCTAAGAAAAGATAACTGAGTTAATATAATATGTGAAATACAGATGCGATGAGAGAGAGGCCTCATTTCAATAATTCAGACTGGTTAGGAAAGGGCTATAGAGATGAAGCAACACTGGAAAAAAGTGCTGATCGTTATCATTGTAGTTTTGTTTGACTTGGAACTGGCTATGTAGACCAGGCTGGCCTTGATCTCACAGAGATCTGCCTGGCCTCTGCATCCCAGCGCTGGGATTATAGGTGTGTGCCACCATGCCTGACCCATGCTGATTGTTTTTGAAGTTAGGTGACAAACAGGTATATGGCGATGCTTTCCAGTACACTCTCAACATATGAACATTTGAATTTTCATACGAAAAAGTCTCAGTATATGTAATGCATATATGCAATAGGTCCCTGGTAAGCATCACTTGCTTGTATGCTGCTGTCTTTACTGTTACTGCTTATGGAAGGACAACCACGATGGGTGCAGGCTTCAAAGTGTTCTCAGTCCTACAAGGGAGTCAGAATTTCATCACAGAGACCCACAGACCTAGAGATCCAAACCCACAGACCCAGACCCAGACACATGCACACAAACACACACATGCACACATCGAGGAAGGGCTCCTTGTGGGAGAGTAGAAAGAGGAAGCAGAGGGGGTTAGTATCTGGTCTAATAGATAAAACCTCATCTTTGCAGTCACAAGATAGGGCAAAGGGTTCATCTCTCCCTGGGGCACTGGGCAGCAGTTAAGCCCTGTTAAAGCAATGCTAAAAAAAAAAAAAACTGTTAGAGGGGCTGGAGAGACGGCTCAGTGGTTAAGAGCACTGGATGTTCTTACACAGGACCCAGGTTTGGTCCCAGAACTCACATGGTGGCTAACAACTGTTCCTAACTCCAGTTCCAGGGGATTTGACTCCCTCTTCTGACCTCTCTGGGAATTGCATGACACAGGCACACTTACATACATACAGGGAATACACTCATACACATAAAATTTCAAAAAAAATATTTTAAAAAACCTGTTAGAGGGGCTGGAGAGATGGCTCAACAACACTGGTTGTTCTTCTTGCAGAAGACCCGGGTTCGAATCCCAGCACCCACATGGCAGCTAACAACTGTCTGTAACTCCAGTCCCAGGGGATCTGACAGCCTCTTCTGACCTTCATGGGCATTGCACTACACGGGTACACTTACCTACATGAAGGCAATACACGCATACACATAAAATAAAAATAAATAAAATTCTTTTAAAAAGTTAAAATAAAACCTTTTAGAGCCAGGCATGGTGGCACACACCCTTAACCCCATCACTTAGGAGGCAGAAGCAGGTGGATCTCTGTGAGACTGAGGCCAGCTTGGTCTACATAGTAAGTTCCAGGCCGGCTGGGGCTACAGGGAGACCCTATTTCAAAAAAGAAAAATAAAAACCTGTTAAAATGACTTCGTGTTGATGATAAATCCTTCACTTTCTCATTGTAAGGGCCCCTGGTGTTCATTTTCCTATAAATAAACTATTGAGCATCAGGCACTTTAATTCCCTAACTTGGCAGCTATTGGACTCTCCCTGGCTACCTTGAACAAAAAGGACTGTCATTCAAACAAGCCAGCCAGGCTAACCATTTATCAGTGCCAGTGGTTTTGAGGCCTTTGTGGATGCTTGGAGGAAATTAGATCGTGATCACAGCTGATCACTCTGGCTCCTGTGCAGCTTCAGCCCAGAGGTTAGTAACTAGACTTTTCCCTAGCCCAAAACTCAGTGACCCTAGATGACTCTTCAACCACTTCCACATAGGACCCAGGTTCGGTCCCAGAACTCACATGGTGGCTAACACAGGAGAACACTGCTGCTGGTGGCCTAGCAGAGACTGTTACTGACTGGTGCTGAAGAGGCAACGATATGATTGGTGCAAACACCCCTCCTCTGACCATATAAGCTGTTCAGCTCCCCTGTGTTGCTTTCATGGCAGAATAACATTAGGCTTCTGGGTGGCCTCTTCTTTAAAAGGTTTATTCACTTTTATTTTATTTTATTTATTTATTTTTTTGTCTTTTTTGTCCTTGTAGTCCCAGCTGACCTGAACTTACTATGTAGACCAGGCTGGCCTTGAACTCACAATGATCTGCCTGCCTCTGCCTCCCAAGTGCTGGGATTAAAGGCGTGCACCACCATGCCTGGCTCATTTTTATTTTATGTGTTGAGTATTTTGCCTACATGTATGTAAGTGCACCCATGTCATGCAATGTCTATGGAGGCCAGAAGAGGGCATCGGATCCCCTGGAACTAGAGTTACAGACAGTTGTGAGCTACCATATGGGTGCTGGGAACCAAATCCTGGTCCTCTGCAAGAGCAGCCAGTGTTCTTAACTGCAAAGCCATGTCTCTGCCCCTTGGGTGTGTTTTTTGTTTATTTTTTTTTTCTTGCCTACTTGTCAGTATTGAGGACTGAGCTGGTAACATGAAGATGCAAGAGAGCTGAGCACAGTGACAACTGAGAGAATGGATGTGTCAGTGAGCGCTGAGCAGTCAGCAGGAAGGACAGAGAGGATGGAGAGCTGATGCCAAGGAAGGGCACAGATGGCTATAAAGAGCCAGGAGAGAGAAGCCACAGGCCCTGGTTGCTGGAAGAGTTCTAGGGTACTGCCAGGCCTTTATGGCTAAGGGTCTCACACTCCAGGCCTGGGAGCTGTAACACTGGCTTCTGCCAGGGCTGAAGACACCTAGGCCTTTCCAGAGGCTGCAATTTTGCCAGCTGCTGCCAAGGGCTAAGGAATCCTTGACTTCTTAGAAGCTGTCACACTTCTGGAGCTAAGGGTATTGCTGCCTGAAGCCTGTACCAGAGCCCCGACCCTAGAGAGTACTCCTTGCTCCAGCCTGCTTGCTGTTGTCAAACTTCCATGGATACCAAAGCCACCCATAATCAGTACTTACTTGACCAGCTTCTTCTTGCCCACCCTTGAGCTTTATCCAAACAGAGCCCAAGGAATCAGCCAGTGGATGGGTTAAGAGTCAGGAGAGACATCTTTGTCCAGACATGGGATACAAAGATAAGTCTTGACTTAGGGAGCCAGGGTAGGACTTAAAACTTTAAAGCCCATGGTTGTGTTTAGAAAGGTCTTTACTACTGCCATGGGGAGGGTATACTAGAGGAAGTAAAAGTGAAGACTGGGCGAGGGTAAGGTGGACCAAGGTAGGGCAAGGAGGGGACAGTGGTGGGCAGAGCACTATTGAGGAGGCTGAATAGGGGAAAGACTCTAGTGCTGATGAGCAGTGGGGAGTGGAGGATCCAGGAAGAGGCCCCAGGTTCTGTCCAGATGGCTGGCTTCCTACCTCATAGTAGACTCCGTTGTGGTAGCAGCCGCATTCCTGCATGGGCACACAGGTTGTGACACTCTGCAGGAAGCCAGTGTTGCATTCGCAGCCCTCAGCACACCCTTCTGGGCATAGTATTGGAGTGCTGAGAGTTGAGCACCCCAGGGAGCAGGTGTCTGCACAGAGCTCATAGTGGCTGTGAGGGGGACACTCCATTGCTGCAAGAAAAGGGTCTGATCAGAGCCAGGGGTGGGGCAGGTGCAGATTCCAGTCCTGTCCCCCAATATCTCCCTTGCCCCAACCCTCAGTGTCCCTTTACTCACGACAGAAAGATTTGGTTCTCCAAGGTTCTACTTGGCCTCCACCTGCCTGGCAGGCACTCACGTAGGCTTGGATGTTGTCACAGAGAATGTTCAGGTTCCCACCACCCAGGCAGAGATCAAAGACACAGTCTTGTAAGGGACCCTGGGGATCTACCAGCTTGTGGCAGGCAGCCAGTGGGCCTGTGGGGCTGGTGAGCAGCCCGCAGAATTCCTCCTTCTCAAACTTTTCCTGCAGCTCAGGACTGCACTTTGGGTTGCAATCCTGTCCTGGTTTGCAGGGAGGCACTGGTTTGCAGGACAAGTTGGGCCCTGGCTTCTCCCAGGAGTTACCAAAGTCATTGGGATTGTCTGCCTGTGAGCCATTGGGCTTCTGGAAGTCATTCTTGGGATCATCATTGTAGTCTCCGCACAGGCCACACATGTGTTTAAGGTAGTTCCGGGGGATGGTGATACCCACGTGGTATCTGAGGTCATAGGCCACACGCAGGCCAAATCTGGTCATTATTATTACATTGGAGCCTTGCTGGGAGACTTGAATCTTGCCCTCATTCAGCACCACTGGTATCTTCATGTCCACGCCATTCACCTGGAACAAGGGGATACCGAGCTTCAGAGGTACACTTTGAAGCAATCTGTCCCTAAATGTTCCCATCCTGTGCAGCCTTGCCTCTCTGTGCCTCAGTTTTGATATTTATAACATATGTGTAAGTGTCTTATAACGGGGTGAATGGTGGTACTCAAAAGATAAGTCTACTCAGAACTTCAGAATGCTACCATACTGGGGAATGCATATTTGCAGATGTAATTAGAATTACAGTTTTAAAGTAAGAACACATTGGGCCGATGACAAATGCCCTACGAGGTCAGAAAAGGAGAAGACAGAGATACACAGGAAAAGAGGCTTGGGAAGAACAAGACAGGGGTCAAGGAACATCTAGAGTCACCAAAAGGTGGAACGGCAAAAAGTCCCTCCCCTATGTCCTCTGAGGGGGTGGGGGCTTGCTGTCACCTTGATTTTGGACATTGCACCCAGAACTGTAAGAATAGAAAGACGCCAAGTTTGTGGTGTTTTGTCACAGTAGCCACCAGGAAATGATTCCAGGTGTCAGTGGACAATGTCCTTAGCTGCTCAGGTGAGGTTATCTTTCACATTGACAGGGTCAATGTCAATACAGCACATGTGAGAGCCCTTGTCCATAACAATGGCTGTGTGCCTGAGTGTCAGTGGGGTATCTGGGGAAATTCCCAGGGTATCTGTAATGCCAGTTTCAATGTGAGACTAAATTCTTCCTACTCAGCAAAGTAACATGGAGTGGCACAGGATTCAGCATATTTGTTTGTTTGTTTGTTTATTTATTGGACTTTTTGAGAGAGGGTTTCCCTATAGCCCCTGCTGGCCTTGAACTCACAGTGATCCACCTGCCTCTGCCTCCTGAGTGCTGGGATTAAAGGCGTGGTGGCACATCTTTGAATCACTTTGGGTTTGCTAAAGGATTATGGAACCTCAGCCTCCAAACAAATGAAGAAATCATGTTGCCGCCTTCACCTATCATGCTAAGGTTAAAATGCTGGTGCGGATGTAAGGTGCTTAGCAGCCAATGGTCTGGAGGCAGGGTAAAATCTGTAGCTGATTTATTGGTGTTCTTACGGTTGCCAAGGGTTGATGGGGGTGTCACAGATTGTCCTCTGTCCTCGAATGTGTCTCTGAACTTTCCTATGCAGTGACTGCCTCATGTTTTCTCTGTGGGTGGGAGCCGTCACGTAGCCCATGCTGGGGTGGACTTTCAGAGTTACATCTATCTTTGAGTTGTCCAAGCTCCTGAAAGTAACCTCTCCCCCATACTCCTGTAAGTAACTTCAGTAAATTCACTGGTTCGCCAAATTGGACTTTAGTGGTGTTGTTCTTTTGGTCTGTCATTGGTTCCCTATCTGGCGTGAGTAGATATTTGTTCTACTCTCCGGAAACAGTGTCACACGATAGGCAGGGACCAGGTATTGTGGAAGGAACTTGGAGTACAAAGGAGGATGAGGAGACGGTTAGTCAATGGGTGGAACAGGATGGACAGAATCACATGGGAAAATGTCCCAGGTCCCTGGAGTCTCCTTGCTCTGGGCTTTCCGGCACACTTGTCCTTTCAGTCCCATTTTTTTCCAAATATTTTATTTATTATTTTTATTTTTATGTGTATGCGTGTATTGCCTGCACGTAGGTAAGTGAACCCATGTCGTGCAATGCCTTCAGAGGACAGAAGAGGCTGTTGGATCCTCTGGGACTGGAGTTATGGACAGTTGTTAGCTTCCATGTGGGTTCTGGACCACATTCTCTCTGGGCTATATTCACTCCTCCAGGACTGAGCGCTGTCCACGCCCCACCCACATGGCACCCCCACCACGCCTCCTCCAGTGCCCGCCTCTGCTCTCACCGTGATTTTCCACTGACTCTGCTTCAACCACAGGGTGTAGTCAGCTACCTGGACGCTGATCCCCCTGGTCACACTGACTTTTCCATTGCCCCGGGCCGTGTTCTCCTGCAGGACTGCAAACTTTTGCAGGCCAGGCCGGGTCCAGCAGGTCTGTGCCAGCACATAGGACCCACAGATGCTCATGAAGTCAAAGTGGCGGCCATCGAAGGTGGTGTAATGAGGATTTCCCACTGCTCGGCAGGTGGCGGAGCCCACAGCTACACAGCCCAGGATGCCATTAGACAACTTGCAGATCTCATGTGGGCTGCAGTATGAGGATTGGCAGGTCACTAGGCCGCCCTTCTGGCAATGGCACAGGGAACTGCACCCAGGTCCAGGATAGAAGTCCTCATCTGGTAGGTGGTAGGCGCCCTGGTATACACAGCCGCAGGAGCCCAAGGGCACACAGGAGTCACCACTGAGCACAAAACCTTCATCGCAGACACAGGTCTCTCGGCATTCCGTGCCACAGCCTCCGGGCACTGGCAGTTCTCCACAGGACAGCAGGCAGCCTCTGTGACACATCTCATAGTGGCTGTGAGGTGGGCAGGACATCGCTACAGAGAGAGGGGCCATCAAGACCAAGGATTCTCACTCCTGGGAGGACACAGTTGATGCCCCAATACATACATGTAGACATTCACACACATACAATACACACACTCACACAATTCACATACTCATACACATCAAGTGGCCCGTCTTCAAGAAGCCACTATGTTCAGTGGGATCAAAGGAATACCCTTTATCAGTTTCTGAGCCTGAGAATTATGATTCTATTCCAAAGCCAGGCGTGGTGGTGCGTTCCTTTATTTCCAGCACTCAGGAGGCAGGCAGATCTCTGTGAGTTCAATGTTAGCCTGGTCTACATAGTGAGTTCATGCCAGCTGGGACTACAGGGAGACCCTGTCTCAAAAAGAGAAAAAAAATTCTATTCCCATGTAACTGTGGTAGGGGTCACCTGTAATGCATTTAATGACTACTAAATTGTGTAAATGCTAATATGTGGTGCAGACTTTGTATGTATTTGTACACAGGGTCTCACTATGTAGCCCTGGCTGGCCTGGAACTTATTATGTAGATCAGGCTAGTCTCAAAGTCAGAGATCCACCTGCCTGCCCCTTCCTCTCGAGTGATGGAATTAAAGGTGTGCAAAACCACATTGGCATGGTACAGATTTTCAATAAGCCTGTACTTGCCTGTGTGTATATAATCTATACAGTGCATGCATGAGTGTAGTATTTTTAGCTTCTTCATTTTATAAGTAGTAATAAAATATTTGTTAGTTTAGTGATTTCAAGTATTAAGTAGTATTTGGTGATGAAAACCAGTCACCAATAGTACATTTTGGTAAAAGCATTTAATGTTATAATGATTAAAAAAGCAAAAAAAACCCTTTCCTGCTTCCCTCCTTAAATGCTAGTCACTCAAATTTAAGGCAGGCAGCTCCATAAAAACAAAACAAAACAAAACAACAACAACCAAAAGAGGACTGTAGCTCACTGGTAAAGGGTTTGCCAAGCTTGTGTCAGGTTCTGTGTTCAAACCTCAACATCATATAAAACCCAAACCAAAAACTCCCTCCAGGGACTGGAGAGATGGCTCAGTGTTTAAGAGTACTTGCTGCTCTTGCAGAGGACCTAGGTTCAGTTCCAGCAACCATGTCAGGGAGTTCACAACTGCCCATAACTCTAGTTCTAGGGGATCGAACGACCTGTAGTGCAGTGTGGTGTACTACAGACAAGGAACCCCCCCACCACATACACATAAACAAAAACTAAAAAAAATTATTATTTTTATTTTATGTATTTGAGTGTATTGCCTGCACGTATGTAAGTGCACCCATGCCATGCAATGCCCTCAGAGGTAGGAAGAGGGTATCAAATCCTCTGAAACTGGAGTATGGATGGTTGTTAGCTGCCATGTGGGTGCTGGGAATTGAGCCCGGATCCTCTGCAAGAGCAGCCAGTGTTCTTAACTGCCCAGCCATCTCTTCGGCCCCAGAATTAAAAAAATAAAAATAAAAATCTCCTCCAAATCCTCGAACACTAAAACTGAACCAAATCAATCCATCAGTGCTGTTCAATACTAGAGGCTCTAAGCATTAGGCCATTTAAATGTAAGTTAACTAAGATTAAATAAGAGGGAAGATTTGGTCTTGGTTATATCAACCTCATTTCAAATGTGCTGCAGCTTCCTCTGGTCTCAGGGCACAACCATGGTGCTAGCTTTGGTGGACAAGACATTAACAAATGTACTGCAGAGAGCCTTGGAAAGTGCACGCACACTGGGAGTTGACTGCTCTTGGAGTCTTTTTTTTTTTTCTGTCTTTTTGAGACAGGGTCTTTCTGTAGCCCCAGCTGGTCTGGAACTTGCTATGTAGACCAGGCTGGCCTTGAACTCGCAGAGATCTGCCTGCCTCTGCCTCCGGAGTACTATGATTAAAGGCATGTGCCACCATGTTTGGCCCTTGGAGACTTGAATCTTGTGAAGGAGCCTGGCTGTCCTGCTTGAACCTGAGACCAAGGGCAGCAGAGATAAGTAGTAGCTGACCTTGCTAGACCACCAGCCTGACAACGGACAGATGTGTACAGCAATCACAGATCATCTAGTCATAGCTAAGCCATTGGCAGTCTGCAGAGATCAGTCAAATTGGCCCAGATTAGAACAGGCTAAAGCCTGGTGTAGTGCCATGCACCTGTGATTCAAGCTACTTGGAAGATGAGGTAGGAGTTTGATGCCACCCAGGCTAACATAGCAAAACCTTGTTTCAGTAGGAGGAGAAAAAAGAGGAGGGGTGTGGAGGGAAAAGATGGAACAGTTCAGAAGTCCCCAGAATCATGAAAAATAATTGCTGTTGCTTGAATTCACTAAATTTTGGGATTGTATATTACACAGCAGTAGCTAACTGATGTAGTGATTAAAAAGAGACTTTATCATTGTGTTCTATCCCCCACCACCTTGAACCACCCCGTTGAACTCCCCAGTTGGCACCTTACTAATTTCCTGACCTCTCTGGACATTCCAAATACCATAGGGACACATATATCTAAAGACTCAAAGCTAACATCCACAAATGAGAAAAAAAATACAACATTTGGGACAGCAGGCACAAGACCCATACAAGCTCAAGCTAGACAAAATCCCAGCACGGAGGAGGGAGGTGGGCATGAATTCCCACTGCTAGCTGAGGAGCTATTGACAATTGATAGCTGCCTGGAGAAGGAGAGTTAGTTTTCTTTGTGGTCCCTGGTAGGTCAACCACACTCTGTTGGATGGCCACACACCTAAGAGTGTACAGGCAGCACAAATCAGACTCACTGGGTTAGAAAAAGTGGTGACACAAAGTTGGGTGGGTAAGGAAGGGGGCCTGGATCTCAGAGGAGTTGGAAAGGTGAACAGGATCAAAATGCAATGTGTGAAGCCGGGTGTGGTAGCACTTGGGAGGCAGAGGCAGGCCATCTCTGTGAGTTCAAGCCCAGCCTGGTCTACATAGCGAGTTCCAGGTCAACTGGGACTACAGGGAGACCATGTCCCCAAAATGCAAAAAAAATGCAATGTATGAAACTCTCGAAGAACTAATTAAAAAAAACTAACCCCCCTCCCCGCTAAATAAACATCAGTAGGAACACCTAATTGCCACTGTTGGTACTCACGGCAAAATTCCTCAGTCCTCCAGGGTTGCACAGAGGCCCCAGCCAGGTGGCAAATAGTAGTGTATGTGGCCAGTGAGTCACACATTGGCTTAGTTTGGCCTGGCATCAGGCAGCTGTCATAGATACACTCTATCAACGCACTGTTGAATGCGGGAACTTGCCAACAGTCCCCAAATTTGCCTTTTATGTCACCAAACAGCCCACACTTCTTTTTGGTCCTTAATTGTTCTTCTATCATGTCTGCCAATTCAGGACACATAGGCTGTTCAGCTGTTTTGCAGCCGGGCCTTGTCTCCACTTGCCAGCTCTTCCCAAAGTCCCGTGGGTCAAGAGCTTGGCCCCATGTCTGCTGACCCAGGTCATCATGTGGGTCCCCATTGTAGTTCCCACAGAGCCCACACACAGCCTCAGCATAGCTGCTGGGTACCCTGGCAGACACATGGGTGTCCCAGTTGTAGCTGACAATCAGGCCAAAGTCCATGCGCACCACAGCATATACGCCTTGGCGGAACCCCACGATTCTTCCTTCAGCTGCTTGGAAGGGCAGGTGATAAATGGCATCGTCCACCTGGGTAGAGATGCAGGAGGACCGACAGGTCAGAATATTCATGTTCTCGCTCACCCTCTCCCCAGCTCAGGCCACTCTTCCCTTCTTGCTGTTCTCTCGAACACACTGTTGCTTGCTCCCTCCTCAGGGCTTTCCACTTGCTGTCCCCTCTGCTTGGCACACCATCCATCACCCCAAATCCATCAAGCTAAAATCCAAATCCCGGGCTGCTGGCCTTCAAAGCCTGCTGATGGCCCTCTAAACCTCTCAGTTCAGTCTGACCTCAAGACCTTTGCATTTTGACATTTAATACACGTTGGTTACGGATACTCAAGCCTTAAGTAAAACATCATTGCAGAGAGGTGGGGAGCATTAGTGATATCATCTCTCAGGATCCTCTCTGTAGCAAGCACTGGGATTCAGGGGCAAGATTTCTTCACTCTGAGGTTGCTGTGAGGACTGAGTTTAATGTATGTGAAAGAAGCACAGAGCTTGGCAATGGATAGTTCGGTCTCCCACTTCCTATTTGTCCATCCCCCTCCCCAAGGCATGGGCTGGGATTTAAGCTTTCGTATTATAATTATAAGCTATTGCGTACTACCCAAAAATCAGTTTCTTAATTTTTTTTTTTTTGAGACAGGGTCTCCCTGTAGTCCCAGCTGGCCTGGAACTTCCTATGTAGACCAGTCTGGCCTCAGACTCACAGAGCTCCACCTGCCTCTGCCTCCTGAGTGTTGGGATTAAAGGCGTGTGCCACCATACTGGGTTCCATTTCTCCATTTTTACCATTAAACAAGTTTTAAATTTATCTTATATTTCATTTTATTTGAGACAGGACATCACTATGTAGCCCTGGGTGGCTTGGAACTCTAGGCAGACAAGGCTGGCCTTAAACTCACAGAGATTCAGCTGCCTCTGCTTCCAGAGTGCTGGGAGTAAAGTTGTGGGCCACCCTGCTGGCTTTTACCTTATTTATTTATTTATTTATTTACTTAAAAAACCTTTAATTAATTAATTTTATGTGTGAGTGTTACACCTGCATGTATATAAGTGCAACTGGGTTGTGCAATGCCCATGGAAGTTAAAAAGAGGGTGTCAGATCCCTTGGAACTAGAGTTATCAACAGTTGTTGGCCACCATGTAGGTGATGGGAACTGATCCTGGGTCTTCTGCAAGATAGCCAGTGCTCTTAACCTTTGAGTCATCTCTCCAGCCCGCATTTATCATTTTTTAAAAAAGAAGAAAAAAAAAGAGCATTCTCTACTGTCAGTGTGTCGTGGACCCTTTTGGAAGCTTCTGCCCAGACGTCCATCTGTGGACGTGGACCCCATCCGTGAGTCCTGCCTGACCTTGGTTAGCATTGCATAGCTGTTACCTTCTAATTGAATGCTCCCTTCTAGAGGGAGGCTCCTGAGACTCAGAAACTAAATGAAACTTAGAAGACTCAGGAAACTTAGAAGACTCACACAATAGTCTGAGAAGCTGGATGAGGACCTCTGTTACAAACCCTCATCTCGTTCTTGACATCTCATCTATCACCTGACACTCTGCTCTCCGAAAGGCTCACATCCATGATTCTGAAGGTTTGTAAAAACAAAAATAGTAACAGCCAGCATCTGCTGAGCATCTGGTGGGCACCCAGGCCTCTTCTAAAGACCCTGCAGAAATGGATTCATCAGTTCCCCACAACCATCCAGTCAATGGTGGCTCCTGGATGGGATCTATCTTATTATGATAGAGAAAACAACAACAACAACAACAACAACAACAACAACAACACAAACGGTCTGGGAGACCATGAAGTGACAGCACAGGCTGAATCCCGGGCCTGGATCTTAGCTACAAAATCTTTTATTTTATTTTAACTAATTAATTAATTTACTTATTTAGTCTTTTGAGACAGGGTCTCCCTGTAGCCCAGCTGGCCTGGAACTCCCTATGTAGACCAGACTGGCCTCAAACTCACAAAGATCGGCCTGCCTCTGCCTCCCAAGTGCTGGGATTAAAGGCTTGAGCCACCAAGCCTCCGCATGCCACAAGAACTTTTAATAACCCCCTCCCACCCATCCACAGCCGCTAATCTTTCAGTAGATCTAGCCCTCTCCCCAGTCCCCTGCATGCAGCGCTCACCAGCACTTTGCCTGGGTGATCCCTAAGCACAGACACCTTTACACCATAGACCTCCAACCGCAGCGCATACGCGAAGCTCACGGATTGGCTTCCCCTACGCTCATTTTCCATCAGCACTCGGAAGTCGGGCAGAGACGTATGCTGGCCACAGGAGCCGACGAACAGGTATGTGCAGGTGCCCATGAAATTGTAGTTTCGAACATCCAAGCTCAGGTAGTGCGGGTCCCCGGTCGCCTGGCATTCGCGGGAGTAGTCCGGGTAGCACCCCAGGAGGCCGTCTTGCACTCCACAGTGCGTCCCGGGCACGCATCCCTTGGTGTTGCGACAGATCATCTCCTGGGTTTCTGCATCACACGTGCAGCGTTGCTGGCACTGGTTGTCAGCCCACACCTCCTGACCGGGCGCAAGCAGGCGACCAAGGAAGGTGCATCCACAGGAGGTGACAGGCACACAAGTGCCTCGGCTGGCTAAGAACCCCTGGTGGCACACGCAGCCCTCTACACAGGGGCGACTGGAGCAGTCTGCAGGAGCTGCTCCTGAGTTGCACGAGGCGGGGCAGGCAGGGCTGCAGAGCTGGTAGTAGCTGTTGGGTGGACAAGGAAGGGCTGGGGGTGGGGTGAGGTGAGAGGGGAGGAGTCAGGCCAAGGTGGTGAGGAGCAAATGTAGGGGGAACTGCACCCCCCTCGGACAGTGTGGCACCCTCAGGGCTCAGCATCTCCCAGTTAAAGGCACTTGCATCCTCCTTGATACTCAGCCTCAACTACCCTCTTCCAACCCATCCTCTGCACAGCCAGTCAGTGGGCCAATCCTACGAGTTCCATCCTTCAAGTCCACCCAGAATCTTCTCCCCAGCCTATGAACCACAGCAGCCCCTGCCTGGTCTCCTGCTCCCGTGTGAACAGTCTGCTCCTCACCCCAGCCATAGGAACCTGTGAACTTGGGGCCACAGGTACCCCACATACCATCCCTCTTGTGGCTCCATCTCAGAGGGCAGTGGGAGTTGTGGGATGTGACAAACATTTTTGTCTTGAAACTTTGTCTCTCCTGCCAAACCTCTGCTGTTCCCTGGGTCAGGAACCCACTTCCTTCTCCCCCTTTTCTGGCTATTCCAATCCTTCCCATATATTTCAAATTGGACATTTTTCTTTTAAAAAATATTTTATTTATTATTTTTATTTTATGTGTAAATGTTATGCCTGCATGTAGGTAAGTGCACCGGTATCGTGCAATGCCCGCAGAGGGCAGAAGGGGCTATTGGATCCCCTGGAACTGGAGTTACCGACAGTTGTTAGCTGCCATGTGGGTGCTGGGATTCTAACCAGGGTCTTCTGCAAGAACAGTCAGTGTTTTTAACTGCTGAACCATCTGTCCAGCCCCAGAACATTCTTTTTCTTTCTTTCTTTCTTTCTTTCTTTCTTTTTTTTTTTTTTTTAAACAGGGTCTCCCTTTTACCCCACCTTTCCTGGGACCTTCCTTCCTTCCTTCCTTCCTTCCTTCCTTCCTCTCTCTCTCTTTCTCTCTTTTCTTTCTTTCTTTCTTTACTATTTTATTTATTATTTTTACTTTATGGGTATGCATGTATTGCCTGCATGTAGGTAAGTGCACTGGTATCGTGCAATGCCCGCAGAGGGCGGAAGGGGCTGTTGGATCCCCTGGAACTGGAGTTACCGACAGTTGTTAGCTGCCATGTGGGTTCTGGGATTCGAACCCAGATCTTCTGCAAGAACAACCAGTGTTCTTAACCCCTGAGCTATCTCTCCAGCCCTGGACATTCTTTTTCTATAAGACCTTCTCTGAAACCATCCCTAGCCTAGATCAAGAACCCTTTTTGTTGTCTTTTAACCCACTTAACCTTCCCTAATCTATCCCCAGCATCTGCCTGCACCCTCAACTAATCTCCAACTCTTCCTCTGTGCCTCCGCATCCCAGCCTCACCTTTCCCAGTGCCTCCCCATCCCAGCCCCAGCCACTCCAGGCTGTCCTTGTCAAGTACTGTTTGTCCCAGCCTTAGGCTCACTGTGACAGGACGGGGGTGTCTTGGCCATCACTGTGTTCCTGTCATTGCCCGGTACTGAACTGAAGCAGAGTTAGTGCCTAGATGTTGAGCAGATGTAAAGGGTCCCCTGCCTCTCACCAAGACTCCCAACTCTGGCTGTAACTCACGGCAGTTGGTTCGTGACCTCCAATCCCGGACAGAGATGCCCAGCTCCACACAGGCCTGGGCATAGGCACTGAGGCCACGGCACAGGGTGATCCGCTCCCCTGCAGTCACACACAGGTCATATACACAATCTTCAATGAAAGGTGTGGGGTCCAGGAACTTGTGACAGGCAGCGAAGGGGCCTGTGGGCAGATTTAGCATGCCACAGAGACGGTCTGCCTTGTAGTTCAGGGCCTGGTCTTTGGTGCAGGAGGGACAGTTGCCATAGCAACCATCATCACAAAACTTGTCCCCATCATCCAGCTTCCAGCTTTTGGTGAAGTTCAGGACATCAGAAGCCTGTTTCCCATCAGGCATGCGGAAGTCGTCAGCTGGGTCTCCGTTATAGTTGCCACACAGCCCAGACACCTGGTCTCGAAAGCGTTTGGGCAGGCTCAGTGTCAGCTGGGAATCCCAGTTGTAGGTGACCACCAGTCCGAAGTCCAGCTCCACCACACCCTGTGTCCCACTCTGGTACACGCGCAGGCGACCATCACTCAGGGAGGCCGGCAGGCTTGAGCGCTGGTGGTCGATCTGCAGAGGGTGGCAGTGGTCAGACCCCTGTACAGTTTCCCCTAAAGCCCTCCATCTCCACCGCTCACTTCCCCTCCTCACACAGGATTCCTTCCTTCTGTTACTGCCACCAGCTGAACCTAGGGATCTTTGCTCTTGTGCCTCAGAGGACTGGAATGTTCCTCTCTCAGATGTGCATGAAGCTCACTCCCTCTCCTTCAGTCAAAGTCTGCCTGAATGTTGCTGACTCGGCGAGGCCACCCCATCACCCCTTTCAGTAGCAGCCCCTTTCCTGTTCCCTAGTCTCCTCTGCCTTTCTATTTTCCAATAGCTTCTAACCCTCTTAAATATAATATGCAAATTCTCACATTCTTCATCTGCTTAGGGCCACTAGAATGTCCTGTCTACTAATGCATCACTGCCTTGATCACTGTTTAGTTCTAGTGCCTTCCACAGTGCCTGGCAGAGCAGCAGGCTGTCAATAAAAGCATGAAGTCAGTGTGATAAAGGAGAGCGGCAGGTCTTACTGAGCAAGTAGCTGCAGGGACCCTGTGGAACAGGCAGGTGGTATGTTCTTGAGATAAGGGAGCAGAGGGACAGGAGGCTATGGGCAGAACCGGTTAAGACCAGCAGCCACCAAGATGGTGGCAAATCTGACTGGTGATGTTAGGATCATTATTCCATTAGAGTAGGCATTTTGAACAGAAAAGCAGGATCCCAAACTAAGCAGGAAGGAAGCCAGTAAGCAGCATTCCTCCATGGCCTGTGCTCCAGCTCCTGCCTCCAGGTTCCTGACCTGAATTCTTACCTTGGGCTCCCCAATAAACTGTGACCCTGGATATGTAAGCTGAATAAACCCTTTCTTCCCAAGTTGGTATTGGCCAGAGTATTTTGTTATAGCAGTGGAGAGACAAACTAGAACAGAAATTGGAACCAGAGAGTTGGGCACTGCTGTGACAGACCTGATGTTGGAGGATTGTGGAAGCATTTGGAGCTTTGGGCTGGAAAAGCCACTGAGTGCTTAAAGTTTGCTGCTGCAGAGCTTGGAATGGTTATATTGAAAGAATTGTAGATGATGGTGGACTGCCTTGTGAAGCTTCAAATGGAAGCAGAGACTATCAGGGCTATTTGTGTGATATTTTGAATTGAGAAATCTGTGGTTTCTGCTCAGCTGGGGCTGAAGTCTTAGCTGTGATTAAGAAGAGACCAGAACCTGAAGTAAAACCTTTGCTTTGCTGGGACAGTTGATGCTGATTAGCTGGGGCTGAAAAATCAGCGGTAAGTAATAAGAGACCAGCATCACTGTGGTGAAATCTTCTGGGAGGTATTTCCTCGGGGTCAGCACACAGAAGCTGTGGTACAGAGGGGGACCCTAGCCTCCATCTCAAGCTGGAAGTAGGACTTGGTAATATAAGAGTCTCATTCATGGTTCTGGTGTTGAAAGCATGGAGGGGTCACAGAGAGTAGCTGAGGCTTGGCACTCTGAGGGGCCAGGAAAGGCCAGTGGTGAAAGTGCAGCCTCAGTTGCAGTGAAGACACCAGGGGTGAAGGGGTCATGGAGAGAATCTGAGGCCAGAAGAGGCCATTGGTGAGGGTTCAAGCCTCAGTTTCAGTGGAGACCCCACCTTTTTGGAGATGCCAGGACCATGGGACGACCACCAAGACAGCAGTAGGTGTGGAATGGAGCTGGCCTGGATCTGCAAGATGAGCTGTGTGTGCTGTGGATGGCAGAGTCAGAGAAATGGAGCTGCCAAAACCCTTTGGAGTCCAGAAGATTGTGAGTGAATCCCACATGTCCAGCCTTGAGCTACTTTGCTGGACTTTGGTTTTGCTTAGGTGTGCCCGATGCTTCCCTTTGAAATAAGACAGTACTTGTTTTGGATTTTACAGAAGCCCACAGTTAACAGACTTTTAAAAGAAACTGTAAACTTTCCAGTGTTTGGATTTTTTAAGGACTGTGGGGTTTTTAAGGTTGTACTGTCTTGTGTTGTGATATTAATGTTAACATCATATCTTGGGGATAAGAAATGGAAAGGCTGTGGTTTAATAGTGATGTGTTTGTGTGTCAAGTTGACAAGGGGTCAATTGTGCTGGATAGCTTTAGCGTCAATTTGACACACCTCGGTTGAGGGAGCCTCATTTGGGGAATTACCTCCATTGGACCAGCTTGTGGCCATGTCTGTGGGGGAATTTTCTTGATTGTTGAGGGATGTGGGAGGGCTCAGCCCACTGTGGATGGTGCCACCCGTGGGCAGGTGGGCCTATGTTGTATAAGAAAACAGGTTGAACATGGGCCAGGGGAGCAAGCCAGTAAGCAGAGTTCCTCCATGGCCTGTGCTCCAGCTCCTGCCTCTAGGTTCTTGCCCGGAGTTCCTACCTTGGCTCCCTGATAAACTGTGACCCGGGAGATGTAAGCTGAATAAACTCTTTCCTCCTCAAGTTGGTATTCGTCAGAGTATTTTGTTACAGCAATGGAGAGACAAACTATAACACTTCCCAACTCTCAAAAAAATGTCCTCTGCCTTTTGATGGTCTAAAAATGTCTCCTCTCCTCATCAGTGAGCTGTTAGAGCTTCAGGAGAGATGAGACCTCCCAAATGTATTGGTTGAGTCTGAAATGGTCTCTTCCTTAAAGATTCATAAGGATACCCAGTTTGCTCAGGATATTTAACTGAGTCCCTCAAGGAAATTCCCACTGAGATGGTTCTGAACAGGGCAGCTAAACATCCAAGGTCAACCAAATGTATTTTTGGACTCGCATTCTGTTTTCTTCTGACCTGTTAAATTGGTCAAAAGATGGTGAAATTTTCCCAGCATTTTAACATATATTGTCTCTCTTGAGCTGATATATAAGCCTTTGTCATAAACAAAGCCAAGGCAGAATCTCAGATTCTTTGCCCGGCAAATTCCCAACACTCCAGAGCCAAGAGATAAAATGCCAACAAGAAAACTAAAGTGGGACTCAGATTCCAATGATAGAGTCTAGCTGGACCCTTTCATTGGTGTATAATGTTTGGGCTCCAATAGAGAATGCCAAGCCAAGAAGCTTGAATATGATATAGAAATCTGAGACTGGAGAGATGGCTCAGTGGTTAAGAGCACTGGCTGCTCTTGCAGGAGACCGAAGTTTGAATTTGAGCACCCACATGACAGCTAACAACTGTTTGTATTTCTGGGGGATCACCCTCTTCTGTCCTTCACAGGCACTGCAGGACATAGGTGCACATACATGCAGGCATTGCACTCATACACATAAAAAAAGATACAAAAATCATAAAGGAAGCTGGGCGTGGTGGCACATACCTTTAATCCCAGCACTTGGGAGGCAAAGGCAGACAGATTTCTGTGAGTTCGAGGCCAGCCTGACCTATATAAGAGAGTTCCAGGCCAGCTGGGGCTACAGGGAGACCCTGTCTCAAAAACAAACAAAACAAGGCAGTACAGAATAAACACCCCTCCCGGCAAATCATAAAGGAACAAATGAAGACTGGCTTAGCCTGGTTAGAAAGACCATATCACACTTATAAGCAATATACTAACATATATCTAGAAGCCTCCAAAAATGTACAGATGGTCAATATGCATCATTGATTTGGTAGAACACCCCTGATATTAGGCTTATTAACATTTAAGAAGTCAGTGGCAGGCACCTTTCTCAATTGGTAGACAGTCTGGAAGGTCTATGACTGGGAAACATAAAAAGACTAAATAAGTCACCATCTTCATTCAAAACACCCTGAGCTGGAAACCTGGAACTAGAGGTCCTCCCCCAAAAGAGAAGAGGCTCTTATGTCCTGTAATGGGAATGGGCATAACAAGTGACTTTGCCCCAAACTCTCAAGCAAAAAGGACCAGTATGATAGACAGATAAAAGATCAGATGGCAGGAATCTGTGGAGACTTTGCCTAGGATGAGGAGGCCTGGGGGCACCCACAACCTTTTTGGCTTTAATCATTACTTCCCTACAACCAGAGAACAACTGATTATGAGAAACACACCCATAAGCTTTGTAATCGACCCAAGGGTTATGTATTCAGTTGTAGCAACCCCTTTAACTAAAAGAACTAAGTCCCCAAAGCAGGCTGTTCTGCAGCCCCTGGAGTGCAGCCTGAGTAACCTGCACTAGCTCACCGTGTCTCATAGGTCGTTAAATTTCACTGTTTAGGGAGTGACTTAACTCTGCAAACTCAATGCTCAAGTCTCCTTTTTCCTAGAGAAGTGGAAAATGCAAGTAAAATGCCATTGAGCTGATGTTGACCCAGAGAGAGGATGAGCCATTGTTGCCTGAAATCCCCCAATTTGCCAACCCAACAGAAGGGAACCATGGGACACCAGACAGAGCTAAAAATATTCTGCCTGTGAAGTCTCTTAAAGCAGGAACACTAACTCCTTACCTGAAACAGTACTTTGTACAACAGGAGGCCCTCAAGGGAATCCAACTCATACTTCAAAAAAAATTTTGAGTGCAACTTGATCACCCTGCCAGTCACCTTCTGACATTCCTACTGTAACACAGGAATATCATTTTGTTCAGGACACACAGCTGCTAATGAAATTGCCTAGAGCATTCACCCCTACAGTACCGAATCCTTACACTCTTCTGAATGCCTTACCGGCAGAGTGTAAATGGTTCATTTCCCTGGATCTAAAAGATGCTTTCTCAGGGCTGGAGAGATGGCTCAGTGGTTAAGAGCACTGGCTACTCTTGCAGAGGACCTGGGTTTGATTCCCAGCACCCACATGGTGGCTAACAACTGTCTGTAACTCCAGGTCCAGGGAACCCGACACCCTCTTCTGACCTCTGCTGGCATTGCACAACACAGGTGCGCTTACACACATGTAGGCAATACACTAAATAAAAATAATAAAATATAAGCAAGTTACAGTTACTTTGTGTTTTGCTTTCATCTTTTTTAAAAAAATTTTGAGACAGAGTCTCTCTGTATCCACAGCTACAACTGGCACTTGCTATGTAGACCAGGCTGGCCTTGAGCTCATAGAGATCCACCTGCTTCTGCCTCCCAAGAGCTGTGACTAAAGGTATGCACCACACGTGGCTTACTTTTTGCTTTCAAATGGATGGACACTTTATAAAAAACCAGCTCTATACTGCTGGACACTTCACCCCTGGAGATTCCACAATCTTTGGAGAAATATTGTCTAAAGGTATGAGAGTATTGTAATGAAATCAGGGAAGCCTGCTGAAATGCACAGGCGACTTGTTCATTGATAAATATCATTTGGATGTTTAGTTACCTCACTTGATTGATTGACAGAGAGAAAGAGAGAGAGAGGGAGGGAGAGATGATAGGTAGATGATAGGTAGGTAGATAGATAGATAGATAGATAGATAGATAGATAGATAGATAGATTGAAGTACAGCTTTTTAAAGATCAGGGTATTTATCAAGGGGTTCCAATGATGGCAAGGCCAATGAAGTTGAAGGGCTTACTGGCAGAAAGCTATTGTTGACATTCAAGGCCCGGGACCTGAAAATAACAGGGTTCCTGGGAATGGTTTACTACTGCATGGTACAGATAACTGATTTGGGGCTTCTAGCAAAGCCACTGTGTAAGGCTCTAATTGGAACAGATCTTGACTTCTCAGTTTGGACAGTTGAATGTCAAATGCTTTTAAAACTTTCAAGTTCTAAGTGATATAAGCTTTGAGGCTGCCTAACTTTGAGAAAACAATTAAGTTATATGTACAGGAATGATGAAGAATTGGGCTGGGAGTTCTTGTATAGTTGATTCCCCAACTGACTCACATAGCCAAGCGTTGGCCTCTTTGCCTTTGGACAGTAGCAGCCACTTGTGACTGAACAAAGAAAACCTAAAAATCCACATGGGGACAACCTAGTGCTCCGTCTGTGTCACATCAGGTCCTAACCTTTCTGGAACAGAAGGGACGGTATTGGTTAACTGTCAGGAGGGTGGGCAAATATAGGGCTATCTTGTGAGATGATGCTAATGTGACTCCAAACAACAGCATTTTAAAACACTATGCTGCCCACAGGACCTAAGCCTCTCAACCTTCACCATGAATGGGAGGAAGTTTTTATCTTTTTTTAGCTGACTGGACCTAATGGACCAGCCATTTGATCCTGCAGGCTGCCGTTCTTTGTAGCTAGAAGCAGCCATGTAGATCATGGGGACGATTGCTCTGGATACGCAGTGGTAGTGTTATAACACAAGAGGTCATTGAATCAGATCTCCTACACCCAGGCAGGTATGTCTACTGAAAAAGCTGATTTAATAGCCCTCACCAGGCCTCTTGATTTCAGAAGGGGAAAAGGTTAACATTTATATGCCTTTTTGATTTTCCATGCTTCTGGGAAGAAAAATGGAATTCTAGTACTACTACTACTACTGCTATTAATGACATCATCATCTTTAGGAGACTGTCTTCAGGTCAAAAGAGCTGACTACCATACACTACCCCAGGCACCAGAAAGAAAGCTCTCTAATAACCTGAGGCAATTGCTAGACTGACTAAGAGCACACCTCCCTCTCAAAGGAAAAATTGATTTGAGTTCTTTCTCTCTGGAACATTAGGAAGCAGATGAAGAAAATCCCCAAAATGGAAATTTAAAGAATGGAACACTTCTCACTGAAAGGTAAGCTTTTACAAAGTCATCCTGTTTCCAGAGACGTTTATGTTTGGTAGAGCTAACCAACATTCATCAAGGCTCTCACTGTGGGCCAGATGCATTAGCTGAATCTGTCAGGCCATACCCCAGGGCCCAGTATTACATCAGATACTAAAGAGGTCACCTGAAGACACCTGTTTCATGCCAAGGAGAACCCCAAAACAGAAAATTTGCCAAGAGTTCAAGGGACCCAATATTTTCGGTCACAATCCTTTGAATACTGGCAAGTGAACTTCACCCAGATGTCTAAGTAAGGCTTCGGGAAGCTTCAAATATCTACTGGGTTTTGTTCACGTCTTTTCCAGTTGGATTGAAACATATCCCATTAGGACAGAAAAAGCCTCAGAGGTGGTATAGATTCTGCTAAAGGACTTCATTCCCAGATGGGGTGTACTTGACCCCAAACAAAGTGACAAAGACCCTGCCTTCATCTCCAAGGTAACACAGAAGTCAGGTAAAGCTGCAGGAATCCACTGGAAACTACATTCTGCCTGGCTGGGGGGTGTGTGTGTGGTTCAATTGACAGGTGGGATAGAGAAGACAAACTGTATTCTAAAAAAGACTTTAGCCAAAAGTATGGTAGGAAACTTCCTTAAGATGGGAAAAGGTACTGCCCCTTGTCTTCTGTATGAGAGTGGATCTTAGCAGTGGGCTGCAGTTGATCCTGGGTGAAAGGATCTACGGAAGGCCCTTTCAGATTTCATAAAGGAGATACTGGCCCACATTTAAAATGAAGCATTATGTATAGATATCTTTTAAAAAATATTTTATTTATTATTTTTATTTTCAGTGTATGAGTGTATTGCCTGCATGTATGTGAGTGCACCCATGTTGTGCAATGCTGCAGAGGTCAGAAGAGGACTTTGGTTTCCCCTGGAACTGGAGTTAAGGATGATTTGTAGCTGCCATGTGGGTGCTGGGAATCGAACTGGGGTCCTCTGCAAGAGCGGTCAGTTGAGCCATCTCTCCAGCCCCATGTATAGATATCTTAATCAAGTTTTGACCTCTATGCATGGGTTTGCTTCCTCTAGGACAACATCTGGCCACGAGGACCCTCTACACCATTTTTAATTTGGAAATTGGGTCCAGCTGATAAACAGGGACCCAGAAAAGCAGACAGGCCTTTATTCTGTATCCTTAACTATGCATATTTTCTTAAAACTTATAGGTATCAGGCCGTTAGATATCTTAATCAAGTTTTGACCTCTATGCATGGGTTTGCTTCCTCTAGGACAACATCTGGCCACGAGGACCCTCTACACCATTTTTAATTTGGAAATTGGGTCCAGCTGATAAACAGGGACCCAGAAAAGCAGACAGGCCTTTATTCTGTATCCTTAACTATGCATATTTTCTTAAAACTTATAGGTATCAGGCCGTGAATTCACCATACCCAAGTAAAAAGGGCACCACCAGAAAAAGACCCTGCTGATTATCCCTGGGATCAACAGTCTTCCCAACAAACAGTGACTCCTTTGTAAGACCTCAATGATTTAAAAAAAAAAAAAGATCTGGGGCTGGCTCAGCAATTAAGAGCACTGGCTGCTCTGGTAGAGGACTTGAGTTCAATTCTCAGCACCCACATGGCAGCTAATAACCATCTGTAACTCCAGTTCCGGGGATATTCGGCACCCTCTTCTGACCTCCGAGGGCATTGCAAGACTCAGGTGCACTTACATACATGTAGGTAATACACTTATACACATGAAATAAAAAACTAGCCAGGCGTGGTAGTGCATGCCTTTAGTTCCAGCACTTGGGAGGCAGAGGCAGAGGCAGGCGGATCTCTGTGAGTTCAAGGCCAGCCTGGTCTACATAGTGAGTTTCAGGCCAGCTGGGGCTACAGGGAGACCCTGTCTCAAAAAGAAAAAGATGAAAAATGGAATTGGAATTCTAGTCGGTGGAGTTTGAAGGAACATACCAGTCACTGGCTATATAACTATTTTGTCTCTCATTGGTCCTATATTTTTAAGATTTTTAAGATTTATTTATTTATTTGTTTATGTGTCTTTTTGAGACAGGGTTTCCCTGTAGCCCCAGCTGGCCTGGAATTCACAGAGATGTGCCTGCCTCTGCCTCCCGAGTGCTGGGATTAAAGGAGTGTGCCACCACTCCCGTCTTAAGATTTAATTTTATTATTTTATTTCTATGTATGTGTGTCTGTTTGTATATGTCACATGAATGCAGATGCCTGTGGAGGCCAGAAGAAGTTGTTAGATGCCTTAAAGTTAGAGTTACAAGGGGCCTTGGGTGCTGCAAACCAAACTCAAGTTCTCTGGAAGAGTAGCTAATGCTCCTAACCGCCGAGCCATCTCTCCAGCCCCCGTCTTTGGCCCTATTTTGCCTCTGACTTTTCTTTCCCTTCCAAGTCACTCTCTTGACTTCTAGGACCTACCGGGAAGACACGACAAGGCACCAAACTGCCCATCAGCAACAGCAAGCTTACCATGATAAGATCACCCCAGATGAGAACCACTGTGCACAGTGGCGAGGCCACACCTTAGAGTCCTCACCTCATGGGAACCAGATTGCTCCCCTCAAGAGATGACAGAAATACCAACTTCTTTAGAACATCTTCTGGAACCAGAACCAAGGTGATGGTCATTCAAATCACTGACCTGACCACAGATACCTGCTTCACCAGCTGTGCACACCGCAACCATTGTCTTTGTTTCCCTCTTGTATAAGATCACAAGATTCTTGTCATGCCCTTCGAGACAGACTTGGGGCTGCTTGTTCTTCCCAAAGTGGCTAAGTTGATTGAATCTCTTTTCTGTTCTTGTCATCACCAACCATCTCTTTGACTTATTTGGACTGGTGGTAGAGCCTAGTCCTCCGCATTGAAAAGGACATGGTTGGGAATCTAACACTAAGCTTTGGCTTCTTCTTTGGACTGGCAACTGAAGGGCTTTAAACTCAAAGCCTTGGGAAACTCACCTGGGCAAAGCCTGCATCCCCATAGACCAACGACACAGAGTGGTTGTAGACATGCACGGTGACCAAGTACACATGGGAGACTTTGAGGGTGCTCCGGTACGCATTCTTAGCTTCCACTTTGAAGGATAGCAGGGACCCCTTGGTGCTGTGTAGCTCAGCCATGGTGTAGGAGCAGGTGCCCATCATGTCATAGCGATGGCCATCAAAGGTGGTGTAATGGGGGTCGCCCAGGGCACGGCAGACAGCCTTGCTGTTGTCCACACACCTGGCCTTCCCACTCACCACCTGGCAGCGCAGTCCAGCTGCACACTGAACACCTTGGCAGGAGGCCTCTGCTCGGGAGAGCGGAACTGGGGAGGAAGGAGAGTTAAAAACCGGGGCTGGAGAGATGGCTCAGCAGTTAAGAGCACTGATTGCTCTTGCAGAGGACCCGGGTTTGAGTTCCAGTACCCACATGATGGTTACGAACCATCCCTAACTCCAGTTCCAGGGGAATCCGAAGCCCTCTTCTGACCTTCTGACCTCTGTGGCTCATTGCGCAACACGGGTGCACTCACATACGTGCAGGCAATACACTTATAAAATAAAAATAATAAAATATTAAAAAAAAAAACAGCCGGGCGTGGTGGTGCACCCCTTTAAGCCCAGCACTCAGGGGGCAGAGGCAGGTGGATCTCTGTGAGTTCAAGGCCAGCCTGGTCTACATAGTGAGTACCAGGACAGCTGGGGCTACAGGGAGACCCTGTCTCAAAAAGACCAAAACAACAACAACAACAACAACAACAACAACAACAACAAAAAACCCAGAAATGTTCATAAGGTGAGAAACCTGGGGATTTCCTGCAGTGTGAGCAGTTAACTCACAGCCACCCATTTTAGAGGCAGAGAAACTGAGGTTTGCAATTGCACATCAGGCCTGTCTGATGCCCCAGTTTCTGATTCCACAGTTTAACATAGCTTGGCCCAGAAGAATGGCAGACAGTGAAGAAGGATCAAGGGCAGTCACTGAAACATCGATTTGTTTGCTTTTCCACCCCCGGCCCCTTCTTGCCTTCACTAGGCTGGAAAGGTTAAAGGATGTTTCAAAGGGCAGGAGATGGAAGACAGGATAGGGATGATGGCTCAGTGGGTAAAGTGCTTGCTGTGTAAGCAGGAGGACCTGAGTTCAGATTCCCAGCAGCTATATAAGAGCTTGGCATGGTGGTGTGTGTCAGTTATCCTAATATGTGTGGTAGGAGCTGAGATAGACAGGTCCTAGGAGTTTGCTGGTCAGCAGTCTAGCTGAAATGGTGAACTACATGTTCATTGTCTCAAAAAAAAAGTTGGAGAATGATAAGAGGAAGGCACCTAACACTGACCTCTGGCATCCACATGTCCATGTATGCCACGTATGCATGCCCCCCACATGGGCACATATATGCATAACACACACACACACACACACACACACACACACACACATTTTTAAAAAGAAAAGTAGAGGCTTCATCAGAATGGAAACAACTGTAGCATAGGCTCCCTTGGAAGGAGTCCTGGCCCAGGCACATAGCTCTGGGACAAGTCTGGGATGCCAGGATGATAGAGGGGAGAAGTGGACAGGCCTGCTAATCATGGGAGCCAGGGAGGAATGGGGAAGAAAGGGGTGAACAGGTGGCAAGGACTGAGAAAATCAGGGGTGATGAGCACAAAGTCCTCAGTGCCCAGGCCTGGGACCCGACACCACAGTCTCAGTTCCACCATGTTGGGCTTAGCATTTAATCTCTACTCTGAGACAGTGCAGTCAGAGTGGACAACTACTGCATGCCAGTCAGTTCAACCTTGGAACTGCTGCTGGTCATGGCTGACTCTCGGTGCTTCACTGTGACCTTCTGTGAGGTGTCATCGGCCTGACTGAGGATGGAGACAGAGGCGGAGCTCTCTGACAGACTGGAGATGAGGAGGCGGAGGTAGGCCTTGCTGTACCCGGGCTGGTAATTCTGCAGGAAGGTGTGAGGAATTCTTCCCCACCAGTGTTCCTGGGGTCCACTGTGGCCTCCTGGGTCAACCCTTAAGAAAATGCAGTTGTGGGTCTGCTTAGCTAATTCTCTCCATCACAAAACTAACCCCTTGCCCCTTGCCTGGGAGCATGCAGAGTAACTCTCTCCCTCCTGGTCCTTTCCTATCCAAGCAGTGCTCTTCTAAAGCCTTTCTGCCTTTGCTGGTCCAAAGTCTGATCACTCTGGGGACAGGGCTCTCAAGCTAAATGCTGCAGGACACACAAACAATAAAAATTCGAGGAATAGTCCAGGTAGCACTGTACCCTGCCTAAAATAAGTTGCTGCTGTTCCCTTTTGCTGATTGCTGTCATGGTTTGGTACCATATTTTTATTCTTGTTTTTTAAAAATATTTATTTGGCCAGGCATGGTGGCGCACGCCTTTAATCCCAGCACTTGGGAGGCAGAGGCAGGCAAATCCCTGTGAGTTCAAGGCCAGCCTGGTCTACACAGTGAGTTCCAGGACAGCTGGGGCTACAGGGAGACCCTGTCTCAAAAAAATTTATTTATTTATTTATTTTATGTATATGAGTGTATTTGTCTGCATGTATGCAAGTGCACCCATGTTGGGCAATGCCAGCAGAGGCCAGAAGAGGGCAACAGATCTCCTGGAACTGGAGTTACAGAAGTTACAGCTGCCATGTGGGTGCTGGGAATCGAACCTGGGTCCTCTGCAAGGACAGCCAGTGCTCTTAACCACTAAGCCATCTCTCCAGTCCCTGGTTTGGCTGAAGATAACGTTTACTTTTTATGCTACATCTTCCTGTTTTTCAAGAGAAACTGGCTGGCTAGCTGAAGTTTTACATGAAATCTCCAACACAAAATTGCTTTTTTGTTTGTTTCAGCTTCTCTATCCTCCCTCCCTCCCTCCC